GTTCCAGAAGCAGAGACTGGAGCGCAGTGACTCTCTGTACTGGCTCTTAAAGGAACTGGTGGTCTATGGGATTTGTTTCGTTACCACGGAGACAGTTGGTTCTACTGTGTTGAAGCAGCTCTGTTTGGCTAAGGTGACGACTCTGAAACATGTGGTTAACTTTTCTGGACCATACTTTGACAGTGCAGCATCTCTGGCCTCTCACCTGGGTGTCAGATCTGTCAGGTCCATCAGTCACACGCTCAGATCCTGGAATCATCAGCTGACACCAAAGGAACGATTGTAATGGTTCCCTTTGTCCTGTTGATAATGATCCTTTTCCATTTCTGAAGATTGTGCCTGATTTTAAAAACTGTTCTGGGTGTCTGTTAAATCTCAGTGAGTCACATGTCCAAGGTTTCAGTGTTCTAACAGGAAAACAATGTACAGACTGATGGTCAAATTGTTAAACAAAGGTAAACTGAGTGGTCGCGTTGACACTCCGTGGAGAGCTCGCCTGTCTCTGAGTGATGAGGTGAAGCCTGTGTGTGGAGCTCTGTACAAACCACCGTTAACAAAGAGGGTTGGAGACCTACAGTGGAGAGTGTTGCACGGAGCTGTGGCTGTCAGTGCTTTTGTGTTTGTAGTAAATCCTAATGTTAATGACAGCTGTTCTTTTTGCACCACAAGAGAGACTGTTTTTCACTGTTTTTTAGATTGTTGCAGGCTCAGTTCACTGTTTGGTCTTTTAAGGAATTTATTCAGAGTGTTTGGTGAGGTCTTCTCTCAGCGGGTTTTTATTCTTGGGTTCAAATACAGTCAGAAATGTTACACAAAGTGTCATCTGTTTATTTGTTTTAGTGGGTCAGGCAAAAATGGCTATTTATGTGAGCAGAAGGAATAAAATAGAGCTCTCCTTAAACTGCGATGCAAAGGCTATTTTCATTCAAATGCTCAAAGCCAGAATAAAACTGGACTACAGTTATTATTGTGCTGTGAGGGACACATTTATGGACATGTGGGGCTACAGACGTGTCGTGTTCTGTTGAAACAGACCAACTCCTGTTTGGTCATGTGTTGGGGTAAGAATGCCTCATACCCCCCACTCTGATGGTTCTCTTCTTTTTTCTTTTTTTGAGTGAAAACTAAGATGTATTGATTGTTGATTGCTGGTGTTTATGTTGATATCTTTTTTTCTTGTGATAGCTAGTAAAGGTTGTGTTTAAAAAAAACTCTCTTTCTCTCTCTCTCCTTCCTCAGGTGTCCACATTGTCCAGTTGATGTATGGCTGTGAGTGGGACGATGAGACCGGAAAAACTAATGGTTTTCGTCAGTATGGTTATGATGGAGAAGACTTCATATCATTTGACCTGAAGACAGAGACATGGATCGCTCCAAATCAACAGGCTGTCATCACCAAACACAAGTGGGACAGTAACAAAGCTCTGATAGCTTCTTGGAAGAATTACGTCACTCAGATTTGTCCTGACTGGCTGAAGAAGTACGTGAACTATGGGAGGAGCTCTCTGCTGAGAAAAGGTAGAGTCACATGACCTGATGTAGTTTCATGAACATAACAATCTTCATGTGTCTCCTCTGTTTCTAACCAACAGTAACATCACAGTGAATATGAGCCAACATGTACAGACACACATTTTCTTTTTCTCTAATGTTTTCACCTCTCTTCATCTCTCTGCCTCCCTCTCTCTGAACTCTGTTTCCTGCCACTCTCTCCCACAGACTGATCACCACTCTCTCCTTCTCTCTGTCATGTTTCTTTTGTCTTAATTTTTTTTTCTATCTTTACTGTCTTTGTAACAATCACTGTCCTCCTCCCTTTCAAATCTGTCTCACCCTCTCACCTCTCTTCACCTGTCTTATTGTCTCCTCTGTCTCTCCCTTCTTTTCTCAGTTACACTTCACTGAGGTTTATTTGCATAGTATACATCTATAGTGCATGTGTTACTAAGGCATTTGAAATACTTTATATTTGAGAAATTGTATTATAAAATACAGTAGTTGACAATAAAGAACCCATGAACTGTCTTACTCTTCACTCTCTGCAGACCTTCCCTCAGTGTCTCTCCTCCAGAAGTCTCCCTCCTCTCCAGTCAGTTGCCACGCTACAGGTTTCTACCCAAACAGCGCCATGATGTTCTGGAGGAAAGATGGAGATGAGCTTCATGAGAACGTGGACCACGGAGAGATCCTCCACAACCATGATGGATCCTTCCAGATGAATGTTGACCTGGACGTGTCATCAGTCCCACCTGAAGACTGGAGGAGGTATGAGTGTGTGTTTCAGCTCTCTGGTGTGAAGGACATCATCACCAAATTGGACAAAGCAGTGATCTGGACCAACAGAGGTAAGACTTCTGTCAGAGGTGAAGGAGGGAAACACTCATTTAGTTTACTGTGACAGTCCTGCCGTTCATTAATTTTAATTTGAATGGGAAGTTTTGTTTCCTTAAATTGTTNTGAGCTGCAGGAGTGCCGTCCTCACCCTTCTTCCCAAGTAGGGGGATCTGCAGGACTTTAAGAACTGGAGGCTGGTGGTGTTGCTTTGCAGGGATTACAAGATCCTGTTCAAGGTGTTGGCCACCAGGGTGAGAAAAGTGATGGAGCAAGTCATTCATGTTGACCAGACATATTGTGTTCCTGGCAGGATGATATCTGTCAATATTATTTTGATTTGTTTTATTTTGAACCTCTCCAGCTCATTGGGTTGTGAGCTTGGTCTTATTTCCATAGATCAAGAGAAGGCATTTGACCGTGTTGAACATCCATATCTGTGGCAAACGTTGGAAGCTTTTGGTTTCAGCTCTGGTCTCACATCCAAGATTCGGGTTTTGTACAGTGGCTTTGAAAGTGTGTTAAAAATTAACAGTGGCTTGAGTGCTCCTTTTAAGGTTCAAAGGGGGTCAGGCAGGGTTGCTCCTTGTCTGGCATGTTGTACCCTCTGGCCTTAGAGCCTCTCCTGCACAGACTGAGAGCACATCTGTCTGGTGTTCATTTTACTGGCTGTAGGAAAGTTTTTAAGCTGTCTGCGTCCACTGATGATGTCATAGCTCTTGTAAAAGCCAGGAAGATGTTGATGTTTTGGTTAAAAACGTAAACACCTTTGGTCTAAGTTCTTCTGCAAAAGTAAATAGGAAAAGGAGTGAAGCATTATTGGTGGGTGATGTATTGAGTAGGGATGTAGTTTTACCTGCTGGGCTAACATGGAACAAAAGAGGAATCAGATATATTGGTGTGTTTCTGGGGAATGAATCTTTCGTGTGTAAAAATTGGGAAAGCATGTTGGAAAAAGTGGAAGGGAGTATTAAAAAAGATGGAAATGGATTTTCCCCAAACTGTCTTTTAAAGGTCGTATTTTAATAATAAGCAACTTGGTGTCCTCTATGTTATGGCACTGTTTGTATTGTATGGACCCTCCTGCAAATCTGTTGTGCAATCTACAAACAGTGATAGTGAGCTTCTTCTGGGATCACTTCCACTGGGTCCCACAGAGCGTGCTCTTCTGACCAACGGAAAAGGGAGGTGAGGGGCTTATACATCTGTCCAGCAGGGGCGCTGTTTTCCGTCTCCTGTTCATCCAGAGGTTTCTCACTGGTCCTGCAGACCTGGTCTGGAGGTCAGCTGCTGAAACCATCCTGGGTCGGTGTGGTGGTCTGGGGCTGGTCGAGTCGCTGTTTCTGATGGACTTGGGTGATCAGAAGCTGGATGCACTTCTGAATTTGTATCGTGGACATTTCACAGTATGGGGAATGTTCCAGAAGCAGAGACTGGAGCGCAGTGACTCTCTGTACTGGCTCTTAAAGGAACTGGTGGTCTATGGGATTTGTTTCGTTACCACGGAGACAGTTGGTTCTACTGTGTTGAAGCAGCTCTGTTTGGCTAAGGTGACGACTCTGAAACATGTGGTTGACTTTTCTGGACCGTACTTTGACAACGCAGCATCTCTGGCCTCTCACCTGGGTGTCAGATCTGTCAGGTCCATCAGTCACACGCTCAGATCCTGGAAGCATCAGCTGACACCAAAGGAACGATTGTAATGGTTCCCTCTGTCCTGCTGATAATGATCCTTTTCCATTTCTGAAGATTGTGCCTGATTTTAAAAATTGTTCTGGGTGTTAAATCTCAGTGAGTCTCATGTCCAAGGTTTCAGTTTTCTAACAGGGAAACAATGTACAGACTGGTGGTCAAATTGTTAAACAAAGGTAAACTGAGTGGTCGTGTTGACACACCGTGGAGAGCTCGCCTGTTTCTGAGTGATGAGGTGAAGCCTGTGTGTGGAGCTCTGTACAAACTACCATTAACAAAGAGGGTTGGAGACCTACAGTGGAGAGTGTTGCACGGAGCTGTGGCTGTCAGTGCTTTTGTGTTTGTAGTAAATCCTAACGTTAATGACAGCTGTCCTTTTTGCACCACAAGAGAGACTGTTTTTCACTGTTTTCAAATTGTTGCAGGCTCAGTTCTCCGTTTGGTCTGTTAAGGAATTTATTCAGAGTGTTTGGTCAGGTCTTCTCTCAGCAGGTTTTTATTCTTGGTTTTAAATACAGGCAACGACGTCGCACAAAGTGTCAGCTGTTCAGCCTTTTATTGGGTCAGGCAAAAATGGCCATTTATGTGAGCAGAAGGAATAAAATAGAGCTCTCGTTAGACTGCAACGCAAAAGCCATTTTCATTCGAATGCTCAAAGGCAGAATACGACTGGACTACAGTCATCATTGTGCTGTGAGAGATGTGGATACATTAATGGACATATGGGGCTACAGACGTCTCATGCTCTGTTCAAACAGACCAACTCCTGTTTGGTCATGTGTTGGGCTAAGAATGCCTTATATCCCTCCACTCTGCTGGTTCTGTTCTTTTCCATTTTTTTTTGTGAAAGCTAAGATGTGTTGATTGTTGATTGCTGGTGATTGTGTTGATATCTTTTTTTCTTGTGATAGCAAATAAAGGTTGTGTTAAGAATTCAAAAATTCTCTTTCTCTCTTTCTCTCTCTCTCCTTCCTCAGGTGTCCACATTGTCCAGTGGATGTATGGCTGTGAGTGGGACGATGATACTGGAAAAATTAATGGTTTTCATCAGTTTGGTTATGATGGAGAAGACTTCATATCACTGGACCTGGAGACAGAGACATACATTGCTCCTAAACCACAGGCTGTCATCACCAAACACAAGTGGGACAATAACAAAGCTCAGATAGCACAGGATAAACACTACTACACTCAGATTTGTCCTGAGTGGCTGAAGAAGTACGTGGACTATGGGAGGAGCTCTCTGCTGAGAAAAGGTAGACTCACATGACCTGATGTAGTTTTATGAACATAACAATCTTAATGTGTCTCCTCTGTTTCTAACCAACAGTAACATCACAGTGAATATGAGCCAACATATACAGACACACATTCTCTTTTTCTCTAATGTTCTCACCTCTCTTCAACTCTCTGCCTCCCTCTCTCTGAACCCTGTTTCCTGTCACTCTCTCCCACAGGCTGATCACCACTCTCTCTTCCTCTTTGCCATGTTTCTTTTTGTCTTAATTTTTCTTTCTATCTTTTTACTGTCTTTGTAACAATCACTGTCCTCCTCCCTTTCAAATCTGTCTCACCCTCTCACCTCACTTCATCTGTCTTATTGTCTCCTCTGTCTCTCCCTTCTTTTCTCAGTTACACTTCACTGAGGTTTATTTGCATAATATACATCTATAGTGCATGTGTTACTAAGGCATTTGAAATACATTATATATGAGAAATTGTATTATAAAATACAGTTGATAACAATAAAGAACCCATGAACTGTCTTACTCTTCACTCTCTGCAGACCTTCCCTCAGTGTCTCTCCTCCAGAAGTCTCCCTCCTCTCCAGTCAGTTGCCACTCTACAGGTTTCTACCCAAACAGCGCCATGATGTTCTGGAGGAAAGATGGAGATGAGCTTCATGAGAACGTGGACCACGGAGAGATCCTCCACAACCATGATGGATCCTTCCAGATGAATGTTGACCTGGACGTGTCATCAGTCCCACCTGAAGACTGGAGGAGGTATGAGTGTGTGTTTCAGCTCTCTGGTGTGAAGGACATCATCACCAAATTGGACAAAGCAGTGATCTGGACCAACAGAGGTAAGACTTCTGTCAGAGGTGAAGGAGGGAAACACTCATTTAGTTTACTGTGACAGTCCTGCCGTTCATTAATTTTAATTTGAATGGGAAGTTTTGTTTCCTTAAATTGTTTTGGTATCAGTTTCTTCCATCTAGTGTTAACATGTAATGTTAAGGCTTAGATTTGTATTAAACCAATGCATGTGTCCACTTCTGGACCTTAATAATTACCTCAATTTCATGTCTGCCACCTGTCCACTGTTGAAGTAGCTTTGGTTAATAATGAGAAATATTAGTTATTTTTTACCACCTCTGTAAACTGATTAATAAATTAGTTTTTAAATCGTGAAAAAAAATGTAGAAAGAGCCTTTTTCTGGTCTTGTGTAACTGTTTTAATGGTTAACTACAGTCACAGATTATAGGCACTGTATTGTCTCAGTTTTAGAGAAGACATAATTATTTAATAACTAGATCAATGTATGTATCTGTAAGTAAATCAGTCAGAATAAAGAGTTTGAATATGACTGTCAGAAGCTCTCATTGTGCCAAAAAACCACAGTATGGGACAGAAACCAACATTGACATACAGCTAAACAAAGAACTAAACAAGACAAGAATAAACAAGCATAGATACAGTAAAAATACGCAGACAAGTAGGGATAGGAACTGATATTATCAACAACAGCAGGACAAACAAACATATATCGTAGTGTATGTATACAAGATTGTGGTCTGGTTGACAGATAGATGTTTTTCTCTCCTAACCTGCTTTATCTGTTCAGGTTGTGATTATTTTTCGTTGTTTTCCACTCAACAGAGAATCCCACTGACATGACCGTCCCCATCATTGCTGCAGTTGTTGTTATCGCTCTCGTCCTCATCGCTGTGATTGGATTCGTCATTTACAAAAAGAAGAATGGTGAGAGACTAAAACAAAAATACATCTTTTTTTTTCTTTCCGTATTTTGGTGTTAGACTTTGAATTGATGTTTTAATCGGGATGACAAAAGTGAGCCAAATTTCAATTGTTCAATCACACAAAAATATGTTTTAACAAACATTAAGTTCAACTGTAACAAGAAAATGTTATGTCTTTTCTTTATATTTCAGCCAAACGCCCTCCATCTCGTAAGTAAAACTTCTTTTTATTCTGTTTTTCTCTGACCTGATATTCACTATTCATTTTTTGCTTGAACTTTTTCAGGACTGTCTCCTGTAGTGTGAGCTGTTTCTAAAACACAGTGGATGTGGGCTAACAGTGTGTTTCTGACCTTACAGCTATAAACAACCCTGAGGTCTTGGAGGAACTGAATCCAAATGCATAAATGGCAAACACACCATCCTGCACACAGTGAGTTTCTTCATATGGGACTTGAACTGTCCACACCTGTTAAACAAAGTGATTGTTTCCTTATCCACAGTAAAACATCTGTGACACATCGTAGCTGTCAAGAAAATCTTTGACTTTCAGTTGGTTCTCCACATTAAAAGTGAAACTGTTTGATATGAAGTGAGATTATTAAGAGAAAGGCACAGATACTTTCAGAAACCTTCACATCAGCAGGTCAGATACAGTCTAATATTAAAAACTTAAACTTTAACTTTTAGAAAACAGGGACACTAATTTATTAAATTTGTGCTGAACTATATTTTAGAAAATGATTGTACTTCATCAGCACAGTAGGTCAATACTTGTTTTATAAAATGTTAACACTTAAATGACTGAATTGTGGATATTTGATATTTTGTTACAATATTTTATTTTAAATGAAACTGTAAATACATGGCTTTGTAGAACTGAACTTACCAAACATCTATGGTGAATTATTTTTTCTATTTCATGTAATATTTTTCTTATTGTGTCTTTAGGTTTATGGATACATTTTGCACTGGATCACGGAGCGGTGTCACCACATTCTCCTCCATAAACTGAGAATCCACCGGTTATTCATCAATCATATCATAAACTGATAGAATCAAGGTTGGGAATTAAAAAAAAAAAATGTGAAAAATTAGTTGACAAATATTATGAAACATAAATGGTGACATGAAATCATTGCTCATCCTCTAATAAAATATTAACTGTTGGTAAATCATATAAGGACGATTATTTCTGGAGAGAAGTAAAATACAATGTTAAAAACAATGAAAACATCACAGTGCTCTTCACACATACATAATAAAGATTTGTGTTTTCCTTTAAAACCAATCCACCATAGTTACAGTTTGATGCTTCTGCTGTTGGGCTTTTCTGGTTAAATTATTATTGGTAATTCAAATGTAAATATACACATATAGACACACACACATCCACACATGCATTCCCTTCTCATAGCATACTCGTAGGGTCTGGCAATATGATTTAAACCTTGAGGTATTTTTCAACCAGTAGAGAGTTTTCTTCACTATTTATACTACGAAAGTCATTCTTTGGTTCTCTGTCTGTATTCGATCACTGAGGGCAACACTGCAAATCCATCAGCAGCATCCAAAAACATGCTATGTAAACTGGACACTCTAATTGGACACTCTAGATTTACAGTAGATGTCAGTGTAAATGGTCATCTCTCTGTGTTACTCCTGGTAATAAACTGTACTCCACTCGACCCTCAGCGGGATGATTTTTTTGTATCACTGTTGTGAATCACATGTATCACAACATGAAATCACACAAACAATGATAAGTTGTATCGATGTTGCCCACCCCTATGCACACACACACACACACACACAAAATATAAACATCAATCCAAATGTATTTTCCAGTTCTGTAAATACTCTGTTTCCTTAAAAGTGATAAAATGTTTGATTTTACTCAAACAGAAACAAGTAAGTTACGTCGTTGAGGTTTTTCTTAATCAGGAGTATGTTGTTTTTTTGTTTCATTATATCTATCTTTTGATGTGTTTTAAGCTTCTCAGCACACTTATAGAAATGTTCTTGAAAATATTTGCTACTATTATTTGGGGACAAGGGATGTTTTCTCTCTTAGTTTTGTAACCATAAAGAAATTGAACAGCGATGCTCCAAATCACTTATTGTGTTGGTTAAGTTGGTGATTGTCAGATGAAGTTGCCTTGCTTTTTGTACTTTTGATTTGCTTTTCAATAAAGTGTCTAAAATTCCACATTTCTGTCTGTTTGTGTTTCCACATATTTGGTTACAAATCTGTGACTAGCTGTGATTATTTGAATACTGAGTATCCACTATTGTCACAGACTAAATGAATGTTGCTCTGACCTTTAGATGTTAAACAAAGGACAGGAAGAACACAATTATTTTGCCAAACCTCTGGTTCTTTACAGAAAACTTAAGGTGCAGTTTGAATTTTAACATGACAAGAACATGATATGGATGATTAGTTTGGACCTCTTTGGTGAAACTTTTTTTTTTTATCTCTTGAATGTTTTGCTTCTCTCTGTTAAGAGAAATCAAAACACAAAGTTATTATATTTGTTTAACATAGCATATTGGCTTATTAGTGAGAAATAGAGGAAAATAAATGCTTGAAACTGCATCATGATATTTTGCTTTATCTCATTGTGTGAATGCATTTTTATTTTATAAATGTGTATAACAATGATCCACTAAGCTTTTCTTGACACAACATATCCGGACTCAAGAGTGGTGCTTTGGATTTCCCCTGAGATAACCTGTTGCACTGAAATCTGCCTGGCAACTGATGACACAACCGTCAGGAAATGTTCCAGTTTTATGGGTCCTCCAAATTAACCTTAATTTTCTGACTGGATGTTACCTGCTGTAGGTAACTGTTACAGTGTGAAACACCCCGAACAGATATAATCAGCTACTATACATCATAGAGTTTCTGAAATAGCTGTGATAATTTGTGGCAAAAAAAAAACACCCATTGGTTTTTAACTTTTTTAAAAAGCCATAAATTTAACTGCTGGCCCTTTCTTCACCTTCAAAGGTTCACTTATAAGTGCAAGAAAGCAAACAGATCCTCACAGACCTGTCAAGATTTAGTTGCTTTTTNGCCACCTGTCCACTGTTGAAGTAGCTTTGGTTAATAATGAGAAATATTAGTTATTTTTTACCACCTTTGTAAACTGATTAATAAATTAGTTTTTAAATCGTGAAAAAAAATGTAGAAAGAGCCTTTTTCTGGTCTTGTGTAACTGTTTTAATGGTTAACTACAGTCACAGATTATAGGCACTGTATTGTCTCAGTTTTAGAGAAGACATAATTATTTAATAACTAGATCAATGTATGTATCTGTAAGTAAATCAGTCAGAATAAAGAGTTTGAATATGACTGTCAGAAGCTCTCATTGTGCCAAAAAACCACAGTATGGGACAGAAACCAACATTGACATACAGCTAAACAAAGAACTAAACAAGACAAGAATAAACAAGCATAGATACAGTAAAAATACGCAGACAAGTAGGGATAGGAACTGATATTATCAACAACAGCAGGACAAACAAACATATATCGTAGTGTATGTATACAAGATTGCGGTCTGGTTGACAGATAGATGTTTTTCTCTCCTAACCTGCTTCATCTGTTCAGGTTGTGATTATTTTTCGTTGTTTTCCACTCAACAGAGAAGCCCACTGACATGACCGTCCCCATCATTGCTGCAGTTGTTGTTATCGCTCTCGTCCTCATCGCTGTGATGGGATTCGTCATTTACAAAAAGAAGAATGGTGAGAGACTAAAACAAAAATACATCTTTTTTTTTCTTTCCGTATTTTGGTGTTAGACTTTGAATTGATGTTTTAATCGGGATGACAAAAGTGAGCCAAATTTCAATTGTTCAATCACACAAAAATATGTTTTAACAAACATTAAGTTCAACTGTAACAAGAAAATGTTATGTCTTTTCTTTATATTTCAGCCAAACGCCCTCCATCTCGTAAGTAAAACTTCTTTTTATTCTGTTTTTCTCTGACCTGATATTCACTATTCATTTTTTGCTTGAACTTTTTCAGGACTGTCTCCTGTAGTGTGAGCTGTTTCTAAAACACAGTGGATGTGGGCTAACAGTGTGTTTCTGACCTTACAGCTATAAACAACCCTGAGGTCTTGGAGGAACTGAATCCAAATGCATAAATGGCAAACACACCATCCTGCACACAGTGAGTTTCTTCATATGGGACTTGAACTGTCCACACCTGTTAAACAAAGTGATTGTTTCCTTATCCACAGTAAAACATCTGTGACACATCGTAGCTGTCAAGAAAATCTTTGACTTTCAGTTGGTTCTCCACATTAAAAGTGAAACTGTTTGATATGAAGTGAGATTATTAAGAGAAAGGCACAGATACTTTCAGAAACCTTCACATCAGCAGGTCAGATACAGTCTAATATTAAAAACTTAAACTTTAACTTTTAGAAAACAGGGACACTAATTTATTAAATTTGTGCTGAACTATATTTTAGAAAATGATTGTACTTCATCAGCACAGTAGGTCAATACTTGTTTTATAAAATGTTAACACTTAAATGACTGAATTGTGGATATTTGATATTTTGTTACAATATTTTATTTTAAATGAAACTGTAAATACATGGCTTTGTAGAACTGAACTTACCAAACATCTATGGTGAATTATTTTTTCTATTTCATGTAATATTTTTCTTATTGTGTCTTTAGGTTTATGGATACATTTTGCACTGGATCACGGAGCGGTGTCACCACATTCTCCTCCATAAACTGAGAATCCACCGGTTATTCATCAATCATATCATAAACTGATAGAATCAAGGTTGGGAATTAAAAAAAAAAAATGTGAAAAATTAGTTGACAAATATTATGAAACATAAATGGTGACATGAAATCATTGCTCATCCTCTAATAAAATATTAACTGTTGGTAAATCATATAAGGACGATTATTTCTGGAGAGAAGTAAAATACAATGTTAAAAACAATGAAAACATCACAGTGCTCTTCACACATACATAATAAAGATTTGTGTTTTCCTTTAAAACCAATCCACCATAGTTACAGTTTGATGCTTCTGCTGTTGGGCTTTTCTGGTTAAATTATTATTGGTAATTCAAATGTAAATATACACATATAGACACACACACATCCACACATGCATTCCCTTCTCATAGCATACTCGTAGGGTCTGGCAATATGATTTAAACCTTGAGGTATTTTTCAACCAGTAGAGAGTTTTCTTCACTATTTATACTACGAAAGTCATTCTTTGGTTCTCTGTCTGTATTCGATCACTGAGGGCAACACTGCAAATCCATCAGCAGCATCCAAAAACATGCTATGTAAACTGGACACTCTAATTGGACACTCTAGATTTACAGTAGATGTCAGTGTAAATGGTCATCTCTCTGTGTTACTCCTGGTAATAAACTGTACTCCACTCGACCCTCAGCGGGATGATTTTTTTGTATCACTGTTGTGAATCACATGTATCACAACATGAAATCACACAAACAATGATAAGTTGTATCGATGTTGCCCACCCCTATGCACACACACACACACACACACAAAATATAAACATCAATCCAAATGTATTTTCCAGTTCTGTAAATACTCTGTTTCCTTAAAAGTGATAAAATGTTTGATTTTACTCAAACAGAAACAAGTAAGTTACGTCGTTGAGGTTTTTCTTAATCAGGAGTATGTTGTTTTTTTGTTTCATTATATCTATCTTTTGATGTGTTTTAAGCTTCTCAGCACACTTATAGAAATGTTCTTGAAAATATTTGCTACTATTATTTGGGGACAAGGGATGTTTTCTCTCTTAGTTTTGTAACCATAAAGAAATTGAACAGCGATGCTCCAAATCACTTATTGTGTTGGTTAAGTTGGTGATTGTCAGATGAAGTTGCCTTGCTTTTTGTACTTTTGATTTGCTTTTCAATAAAGTGTCTAAAATTCCACATTTCTGTCTGTTTGTGTTTCCACATATTTGGTTACAAATCTGTGACTAGCTGTGATTATTTGAATACTGAGTATCCACTATTGTCACAGACTAAATGAATGTTGCTCTGACCTTTAGATGTTAAACAAAGGACAGGAAGAACACAATTATTTTGCCAAACCTCTGGTTCTTTACAGAAAACTTAAGGTGCAGTTTGAATTTTAACATGACAAGAACATGATATGGATGATTAGTTTGGACCTCTTTGGTGAAACTTTTTTTTTTTATCTCTTGAATGTTTTGCTTCTCTCTGTTAAGAGAAATCAAAACACAAAGTTATTATATTTGTTTAACATAGCATATTGGCTTATTAGTGAGAAATAGAGGAAAATAAATGCTTGAAACTGCATCATGATATTTTGCTTTATCTCATTGTGTGAATGCATTTTTATTTTATAAATGTGTATAACAATGATCCACTAAGCTTTTCTTGACACAACATATCCGGACTCAAGAGTGGTGCTTTGGATTTCCCCTGAGATAACCTGTTGCACTGAAATCTGCCTGGCAACTGATGACACAACCGTCAGGAAATGTTCCAGTTTTATGGGTCCTCCAAATTAACCTTAATTTTCTGACTGGATGTTACCTGCTGTAGGTAACTGTTACAGTGTGAAACACCCCGAACAGATATAATCAGCTACTATACATCATAGAGTTTCTGAAATAGCTGTGATAATTTGTGGCAAAAAAAAAACACCCATTGGTTTTTAACTTTTTTAAAAAGCCATAAATTTAACTGCTGGCCCTTTCTTCACCTTCAAAGGTTCACTTATAAGTGCAAGAAAGCAAACAGATCCTCACAGACCTGTCAAGATTTAGTTGCTTTTTTCACAATGGCCGATATACCTCCATGGGCAAAACCTGTGTGGCTAACTTCTGCATAGAAACAGATGACATCATAGCTGTTAGGACAAAAAATATATTTCATCGTGTTGCTATACCTACCTACATTGTAATTAAAATATAAATTATGTATAACAATACTTAATACAAAAGTACTATTTACATTAAGTTATTTAACCTAGTTTAGTAGTAATATATAAATATAAGTGAGATACAGTAAGACCAGTCACTCATCACTCACCTAACAGGTTTTGGAAAAGAGGTTTGGCACATCCTGCATGTTTGTGGGCATATTTCTCCGACAAAAACAAATTCTGTAACGATCAGGCAAGGCACCTAAATATTTCTTCCACAGCTCAATATATAAGTAAAATATATCTTTAAAACCACAATGTAGATTTACTTCATGTAAAAGTGTGATCACAAGATGAACTGTGGCTGACAGTAAACAAAGAGAAATGAACATGTCACCATCATGTCACACAGTGGTGTAAAATACCTTGCTCTGTCTTAAAAAATGAATCAAAATGTTCTCATTTTCAGGGACATACTGTCTGACTTTCATGAATTTTGTACCTGACGCTTAATATCAAAAAGCAACATGATGTATCAGTTCAGGTTAATCATCACAGGACAGAGCAGTGAACTAAACAAAAGGTCTTTATTTGTGGCTGTGTGTTGCATTGGTAAGATTATGTATATGTCAACATAAACAGTACCTCCATTACATAATATAAAGAACAATAACCATACAAACAGTCGGACGGATGTTACACAAGTTTAGAAAGACATGTTTCATTTGACTGAACTGTATATAGAGGGTTGAGGTCGATCTGGGTTTAGGGGTCAAACTCAGAACATTCCTTTCCTGTAGCGGTGGATCAACTCAGATACGTCTTCCTTACACACCTTTATCCAGCCGTCCTCCTGCATGTGGTACACTAGACAAACACACAAAAAAATAACACACAGTTCATCACACATATTCCAACAAATGTACACAAAAATTAAGACAAACAGCCCTTGTAAAGTGCTCACAGGTGTATAAATTTCAGGACTGTACAACATTTAAGCTTTGCTACATGTAAATTATTTTTGTGCCTTTAATTTGATATGTAACAGTAGAGAAATGACAGGAAATGAGGAAAGAGAGAGAGACAGGGAACAACATGCAACAAAGCTCCCCGGCCGGACATGAACCAGGGTGCGGTTTTAGTTTATGTAGACGCAGTACTTTAACATAATGTTGTTTTTTGTTTGGCAATGTCCATTTATTTAATTTCTCAAATCCCAAGTCAAGACAGACAAGTCCAGAGTCAAGTCCCAAGTCAAGACTGACATCACTGACTGGGTCATGCCACTCTATGACTCCTTTTCTTTATCGAGGCCAAAAGGCTGTCACTCTCTGTGAAATGATATGCTGAACTGCATAATTTTTCCCACACTTAATCCAACTTTTTGTGCAGTTCCACCTCTTCTAACATTTTCCAGGGATGGAAAAGAAGACATGCATTTCTTTATATGTGTATTTACCTAAGTAACGACCAGCTGAAGCTCTGGAGTCCACAGCCACGATGACTCCATGTCTGAACTTGAAGGCCAGGGTGGTCGTTCCATGGTTCAGGTCTATACACACGCCTCTGTCACGCTTGCAGGATTGAATAAACCCGGAGGGCTGAAATGAAATCATAAGGGGGATCTCAGTGGGGCGCATGATGCGTAATGGCAATGTGTGAATGTGTGTATCTATAAGTAAATCAGTTAGAATAAAGTCCATTAGCCATGTATGATGACAGTTAAAAGGGAGTTTGAATATGATTGTCAGAAGCTCTCATTGTGCCAAAAAACTACAGTATGGGACAGTAACTAACATTGACATATAGCTAAACAAAGAACAAAACAAGACAAGAATAAACAAGCATAGATACAGTAAAAATGTGCAGAGAAGTAGGGATAGGAACTGATATTATCAACAACAGCAGGACAAACAAACATATATCGTAGTGTATGTATACAAGATTGTGGTCTGGTTGACAGATGGATGTTTTTCTCTTCTAACCTGCTTTATCTGTTCAGGTTGTGATTATGTTTTGTTGCTTTCTGCTCAACAGAGAAGCCCACTGACATGACCGTCCCCATCATTGCTGCAGTTGCTGTTCTCGCGCTCGTCCTCATCGCTGTAAAACTTCTATTTATTCTGTTTTCCTCTGACCTGATATTATATTATATCATTTTTTGCTGAAGAACTTTTTCAGGACTGTCTCCTGTAGTGTGAGCTGTTCCTAAAACACAGTGGATGTGGGCTAACAGTGTGTTTCTGACCTTACAGCTGTAAGCAACCCTGAGGTCTTGGAGGAACTGAATCCAAATGCATAAATGGCAAACACACCATCTTGCACACAGTGAGTTTCTTCATATGGGACTTGAACTGTTCACACCTGTTAAACAACGTGATTGTTTCCTTATCCACAGTAAAACATCTGTTACACATTGTAGCTGTAAAGAAAATCTTTGACTTTCAATTGGTTCTCCACAACAAAGGTGAAAAGTGTCTGATATGAAGAGAGGTTATGAAGAGAAAGGCACAGATACTTTCAGAAACCCTCACATCAGCAGGTCAGATACAGTGTTTTTTTTGGGTTTTTTTTAAGATTATTTTTTGGGCTTTTTTGCCTTTAATGAACAGGACAGAGTGAACTGGGGCGAGAGAGAGAGAGAGTAGGGGTTGACATGCAGCAAAGGTTTGCAAGCCGGAGTTGAACGTGCCACCGCTGCAGCGAGGCATTGCCTCTGTACATGGGGTGCCGGCACTATCCACTACGTTACCAACACCCCAGGTCAGATACAGTCTAATGTTAAACACTTAAACTTTGACCTTTACAGGGAAACTAATTTATTAAATTGGTGCTGAACTAAATTTTAAAAAAAAATGATTGTACTTCATTAGCACAGTAGGTCAATACTTGTTTTATAAAATGTTAACACTTAAATGACTGAATTGTGGATCAGCGAGATGATTTTTGTATCACTGTTGTGAATCACACGTATCACAACATGAAATCACACAATGATAGGTTGTATCAATGTTGCCCACCCCTATGCACACACATACACAAAATATAAACATCAGTCCAAATTTATTTTCCAGTTCTGTAAATAGTCTGTTTCCTTAAAAGTGATAAAATGTTTGATTTTACTTGAACAGAAACAAGTAAGTTATGTCTTTGAGGTTTTTCAGGAGTATGTTGTTGTTTTTTTGTCTCATTATATCTATCTTTTGATGTGTTTTAAGATTCTCAGCACACTGATAGAAATGTTCTTGAAAATATTTGCTACTATTATTTGGGGACAAGGGATGTTTTCTCTCTTAGTTTTGTAACCATAAAGAAATTGAACAGCGATGTTCCAAATCACTTATTGTGTTGGTTAAGTTGGTGATTGTCAGATGAAGTTGCCCTGCTTTTTGTACTTTTGATTTGCTTTTCAATAAAGTGTCTAAAATTCCACATTTCTGTCTGTTTGTGTTTCCACATATTTTATAAATGTGTATAACAATGATCCACTAAGCTTTTCTTGATGCAACATAACCAGACTCAGAGTGGTGCTTTGGATTTCCCCTGAGATAACCTGTTGCACTGAAATCTGCCTGGCAACTGATGACACAACCGTCAGGAAATGTTCCAGTTTCATGGCTCCTCCAAATCAACCTTAATTTTCTGACTGGATGTTACCTGCTGTAGGTAACTGTTACATTGTGAAATACCCCGAACAGATATAATTAGCTACTACACATCATAGAGTTTCTGAAATAGCTGTGATAATTTGTGGCAAAAAACACCCATTGGTTTTTAACTTTTTTTTTAAAAAAAGCCATACATTTAACTGCTGGCCCTTTCTTCACCATCAAAGTTTCACTTATAAGTGCTAGAAAGCAAACAGATCCTCACAGACCTGTCAAGATTTAGTTGCTTTTTTCACAATGGCCGATATACCTCCATGGGCAAAACCTGTGTGGCTAACTTCTGCATAGAAACAGATGACATCATAGCTGTTAGGACAAAAAATATATTTCATCGTGTTGCTATACCTACCTACATTGTAATTAAAATATAAATTATGTATAACAATACTTAATACAAAAGTACTATTTACATTAAGTTATTTAACCTAGTTTAGTAGTAATATATAAATATAAGTGAGATACAGTAAGACCAGTCACTCATCACTCACCTAACAGGTTTTGGAAAAGAGGTTTGGCACATCCTGCATGTTTGTGGGCACATTTCACCGACAAAAACAAATTCTGTAACGATCAGGCAAGGCACCTAAATATTTCTTCCACAGCTCAATATATAAGTAAAATATATCTTTAAAACCACAACGTAGATTTACTTCATGTAAAAGTGTGATCACAAGATGAACTGTGGCCGACAGTAAACAAAGAGAAATGAACATGTCACCATCATGTCACACAGTGGTGTAAAATACCTTGCTCTGTCTTAAAAAATGAATCAAAATGTTCTCATTTTCAGGGACATACTGTCTGACTTTCATGAATTTTGTACCTGACGCTTAATATCAAAAAGCAACATGATGTATCAGTTCAGGTTAATCATCACAGGACAGAGCAGTGAACTAAACAAAAGGTCTTTATTTGTGGCTGTGTGTTGCATTGGTAAGATTATGTATATGTCAACATAAACAGTACCTCCATTACATAATATAAAGAACAATAACCATACAAACAGTCGGACGGATGTTACACAAGTTTAGAAAGACATGTTTCATTTGACTGAACTGTATATAGAGGGTTGAGGTCGATCTGGGTTTAGGGGTCAAACTCAGAACATTCCTTTCCTGTAGCGGTGGATCAACTCAGATACGTCTTCCTTACACACCTTTATCCAGCCGTCCTCCTGCATGTGGTACACTAGACAAACACACAAAAAAATAACACACAGTTCATCACACATATTCCAACAAATGTACACAAAAATTAAGACAAACAGCCCTTGTAAAGTGCTCACAGGTGTATAAATTTCAGGACTGTACAACATTTAAGCTTTGCTACATGTAAATTATTTTTGTGCCTTTAATTTGATATGTAACAGTAGAGAAATGACAGGAAATGAGGAAAGAGAGAGAGACAGGGAACAACATGCAACAAAGCTCCCCGGCCGGACATGAACCAGGGTGCGGTTTTAGTTTATGTAGACGCAGTACTTTAACATAATGTTGTTTTTTGTTTGGCAATGTCCATTTATTTAATTTCTCAAATCCCAAGTCAAGACAGACAAGTCCAGAGTCAAGTCCCAAGTCAAGACTGACATCACTGACTGGGTCATGCCACTCTATGACTCCTTTTCTTTATCGAGGCCAAAAGGCTGTCACTCTCTGTGAAATGATATGCTGAACTGCATAATTTTTCCCACACTTAATCCAACTTTTTGTGCAGTTCCACCTCTTCTAACATTTTCCAGGGATGGAAAAGAAGACATGCATTTCTTTATATGTGTATTTACCTAAGTAACGACCAGCTGAGGCTCTGGAGTCCACAGCCACGATGACTCCATGTCTGAACTTGAAGGCCAGGGTGGTCGTTCCATGGTTCAGGTCTATACACACACCTCTGTCACGCTTGCAGGATTGAATAAACCCGGAGGGCTGAAATGAAATCATAAGGGGGATCTCAGTGGGGCGCATGATGCGTAATGGCAATGTGTGAATGTGTGTATCTATAAGTAAATCAGTTAGAATAAAGTCCATTAGCCATGTATGATGACAGTTAAAAGGGAGTTTGAATATGATTGTCAGAAGCTCTCATTGTGCCAAAAAACTACAGTATGGGACAGAAACTAACATCGACATACAGCTAAACAAAGAACAAAACAAGACAAGAATAAACAAGCATAGATACAGTAAAAATGTGCAGAGAAGTAGGGATAGGAACTGATATTATCAACAACAGCAGGACAAACAAACATATATCGTAGTGTATGTATACAAGATTGTGGTCTGGTTGACAGATGGATGTTTTTCTCTTCTAACCTGCTTTATCTGTTCAGGTTGTGATTATGTTTTGTTGCTTTCTGCTCAACAGAGAAGCCCACTGACATGACCGTCCCCATCATTGCTGCAGTTGCTGTTCTCGCGCTCGTCCTCATCGCTGTAAAACTTCTATTTATTCTGTTTTCCTCTGACCTGATATTATATTATATCATTTTTTGCTGAAGAACTTTTTCAGGACTGTCTCCTGTAGTGTGAGCTGTTCCTAAAACACAGTGGATGTGGGCTAACAGTGTGTTTCTGACCTTACAGCTGTAAGCAACCCTGAGGTCATGGAGGAACTGAATCCAAATGCATAAATGGCAAACACACCATCCTGCACACAGTGAGTTTCTTCATATGGGACTTGAACTGTTCACACCTGTTAAACAACGTGATTGTTTCCTTATCCACAGTAAAACATCTGTAACACATTGTAGCTGTAAAGAAAATCTTTGACTTTCAATTGGTTCTCCACAACAAAGGTGAAAAGTGTCTGATATGAAGAGAGGTTATGAAGAGAAAGGCACAGATACTTTCAGAAACCTTCACATCAGCAGGTCAGATACAGTGTTTTTTTTGGGTTTTTTTTAAGATTATTTTTTGGGCTTTTTTGCCTTTAATGAACAGGACAGAGTGAACTGGGGCGAGAGAGAGAGAGAGTAGGGGTTGACATGCAGCA